TTCGGAAAAAAAGGGCAGGGGAGCTCCCTGAAAAAAACAAGTCCAGACTACTTTCACTTTCGAAAGACATGCAGGATTCCGCAGGAATTTGCATATCCTCTTTCGAAAATAAAACGTAGTCTAGACGTGCCCTAAGTCTTTTTAAAAGGTAAAAAGACTTCAAAGCCTGATGTATGACTCCTATAAATTATACACGGCAAGTCTAATTTTCCAAAGCCTGCTACCTCTACAGCTCTACAGGACTAGGGATTTAAACAAACCATGGGGGAAATATCCAAGCTTTAGTTAAATGGGGTTCAGGTATATATGATAGGCTTCCGGGATTGTCACTTTCTCTTTGTATCACTCTGAAACCCAGAGTTTCTGCTGAGTGTTTTTGTTGAGAATATCACCATTTTCAATCATCACTGGGATCTGTGGTTATTACTGTTCAATTTTTAAGTTCAGACATTTTGAATTTATGAATTTTATCTATTTGACAACCCCACGCTAAGAATCCTAAGCCATTGTGATATCACCACCCTTACTCTACAATTTATTTACACACAATAATTTCATAGGCTGTCTGAAGGAGACTGAATAGATGGTGAATCTCTTGGCCCAACAATCACAGCTCACCAGGTTCAGTTATCACTGGGATTCACAATCTCTTACTGTCCAAGTTGTGAATTCTCTTTTTTTTTTTTTTTTTTGGACTATATGACGGTATTTTAAATCCTGACTGTTTAAGACTGGAAGCAAAAACACCTCCCGCATTCCCTCTTCCTGACACCTTACCTTTTCAGACAGTTCTGCAGCATTCACATTTGGATCATATGGAATAGGATCTCCAATATATGTACGAAATTTGACTGGAAACCCTCCATATATAGGAACAACTGGCAATCGAAGACGTTCATACATCAACCTAAATAACCCTGTTTTTTAGTTTAAAAATATTAATTTGCATTTTAGGAGGCAGTACATAAATTAACTTGTAAAGAAACCCAGACCTCTGATCTCAGGCTCTCATATGAACAAAAGTATCTTTGAACTGCTATTCCACCCTTGATCTTCACTTTTCAAAAACAGAAAAATCACATTCAAAGCAAGAATAATCTACACCTCTTTTATGATGCCTGGAAGGGAACTTTATGAAGTTCTCTTCTTCCAACAACAGAAGGCTGTCCAGTGACTGACACTATAAGGGCAAGGATTACTAAATGAGAGTTCAGGTTATTAGATAAACCCCTCAAAACCTCGTGGAAGACTATGACTAGAAAAGAAAGGGCAGACAGAACAGAAACAAAATATCTAACAGGAGAAAAGGAAACAGGCACCCCAAGGACTCTCTCCTTAACCCATATCTTTCAGGGACGAGGTGATGATATATCTCTTTTTAAAAAAAAAAAAATATATATATATATATATCAAAAACAAACCTCAACCAAACTACAATGTTATACTATGAACATTATATTTTTTCCCCCCTTCCCCAGGTAAAAATACGAGGAGAGAATGAATCACACATGACATGTTAGTCACATTGCTTAACACGATCCTGAAAGATGCTCCAATACTAGGGTAATCAGGCCAATATAAGAGCCTACAATATAACTAGCTATCTGAATGTCAAGGATTTGGGTTCTGGGGGAATGGAAAGGAAACCTTCAACCTGAAATAGCCTGGGTGAAGGGGAAGTTACATTCACAAAAAAAATTAAATTTTTTAATTTTGATTTTAAGGAAACCATCAAACCAGCCAGTCAGCATGAAGTAGCCTCTATCTCATGCTTATTTATTTTACTTTTTTTTAAAAATAAAGCACTTATCCCAAAGTCACCAGAGTAATAACATCTCAAAGCTGTGACAGTACCTGACTAGCAATTAAGGTGAACTGCTGATTTTTCCCCACCATTACAGAAATATAGGCAGCATTAAAAATCAGTTTTTTGCAAATGCTCTAGAGGAACAGGAAGTCTGGTACCAACCATTAGAGCTGATCTCCCAGCAGAGAACAGAAAACCCACAGTAGGCAAAGCAGACTTGTTAATGTAGGATAAATATATTATTCTAAAAACTTGTTCTTCCACATGTATACTCAGTACAGTAAAACTCCGATAGTCTGGCATCTGATGGTCCGGCACCATCAGGAACCCGGAAGTGCTCCGGGCAGCTGGACCATTGGAGCTGCTCTGCCCCCAGCTTCCCCGATTCAGCCGCTG